TCTTACTCAACAGCCCAAGCCTTCTGGCTGCCGGTCTGCCACTTCTCGGAACCGCGGCTCCCCCAAGCCCTGAATGAAGCGGGGGATGGCGGGGAAGGGAGGGGGAAGGCGCGTCTCCTAGATTGGAGAGGGTACTGCCAGGCAGTGGGTGGCTGGCTTGGCGATCGCGCTATGGCACCAGTTGCACGTTAGGCGTCAGACAGCTGCTGGCTACTTTGCAGGGGCCTCCAGCCTCTGCATCTAGCCTATGTTGGGTTCCTCCTCCATCGGCCGATTTCTCTGTTCAGGACCCAAGAGAGGCTGTCCACACGATTCACCTGCTCGTATTCCTACCTTCATGCGCTGCGGGGGCAGGCCTGTAGAGAGTAGCTAGTGCCAACAAAGGAGAGCTGAGCCTTGAGGTCATTCATGGCCTCCTCGAAGTGGGGGAGGAGGGAACCCCTCCGTGACCTGGGGGTGCCACTGTCTGCGGTCCTCTCCACCGCACATACTTGCAGAGGCCGACGCTGGACCCATGGCACAGCAGTCCCAGGTGTGAGCAAAGCTCCAACCTTGCTTCTGCTCCGCAGATTTTTTTTTTTTTTTTTTGGCAGGGATGGAGTCTCCCTCTGTCTCCAGGCTGGAGTGCAGTGGAGCGATCTCGGCTCACTGCAACCTCCGCCTCCCGGGTTCAAGCGATTCTCCTGCCTCAGCCTCCCCAGGAGCTGGGACTACAGGCGTGTGCCACCAGGCCCAGCTAATTTTTGTGTTTTTAGTAGCAACAGGGTTTCATCATATTGGCCAGGATGGTCTCGATCTCTTGACATCATGATCTGCCCACCTCGGCCTCACAAAGTGCTGGGTCTAAGGGCGTGACCCACCGCACCTGGCCCTGCTCCGAAGACTCTGTCCTCCCTTGGCCTCCTCCTAGAATGGACTTCTACCGGATGCAGAGCTGGAGGGGAACCTGGAAGGAGAGGTCTCTTTCTGTTCTGTCTAGAATATTGTGTAAAGACAGAGCTTTGCAGAGTTAAGTTCAAACCTCTTCTCTCTTGATTACTGTGTCCTACCCACCTGGGGCAACTTTACTGACCTTCCTCAATTTCCTCATCCATTGAATTATTAATTATTCTCATCTCATGGGATTTTCCTAATGAATAAGTTAGATAACATTTGTGAAAGACCAAAGACAGGGCCTGGCAACTCTGAGTCTCAATAAATATTCTTCCTTCCCTCTCCCTACTTTTCTTCCCTTTCGAGAATGAGGGGACCCTGAGATGCCAGGCACGGGGAAGAGGGCTCTCCTAGGTCCTTATTCTGTCCCCTCTTGGTCAGTTCCTCCAGGCCCACAGTTTCTTAAGGGCCTCTTCACCAACATGTTAATGATAGATTCTTAAGGGCTAATGATATGTAATAATGACAGGAATAAGACCTCTTTGTACTTACACCCAGTGTTGCCATCCTCCTACCCAAAGAGTAGAGCCTAACGGACGCAGGGAGGGTCCTGTTGTGGGGGTAGGAGTGCCCTCCTCTGCAGCCCCAAAGTTAGGGGATGAGAGAAGGGACCTGTCAGTGTCTCATCCACAGCTCTTTATATACACACACACTCACGTGTGAAAACTAACTCCTAACTCCCAGAATGCCCCTCCAGGAGTGGGAGTAGATAGTGGCATAAAAGAAGAGACAAAGATAGATGTCTCCTGAGGCCCAGAGGGCAGCAGGGGAGGGAGCTTAAGGTGGCCGTGGCCCTGCCTGGGCGTGCCATTGCACTCCAGCCTGGGCAGGGATAGCTGGACCTATCTCTACCTGTCCCCTGGAACAGGGAGTGAGCACCTCCCCCAGGGTCTCAGCCTGCCTGCCAGCCCGGCACTCCTATGACTCCTCCCTGCCACCCACAGGGGTCTCCTGGGTGCACAACCTGGCACAGTGCTGCCATGATCCAAAGTTCTCTCCCTGAGGAAACAGGGCCGTAGACCAGGCTCTGTCCCTGTGAATTTTTTTGTTTTGTTTTGTTTTTAGTGATGGGGTTTCACCCTGTTGGCCAGGCTGGTCTTGAACTGACCTCAGGTGATCTGCCCGCCTCAGCCTCCCAAAGTGCTGGGATTACAGGTGAAAGCCACTGCACCTGGCCCCTAATTCTGTTTTCTCTCTACCAGTTCCTCTTCTCCCCTAACTGGCCCTGAGACTCATTCATGTTCTTTCCAGCTCCAGGTCAATTCACTGCTGTATAGGCTTTGAAAGTTTACAGAGCCCTCTCACGTGTTTTAGATGCTCATGATAGACAGGTGTTATTGTCATTGTGTGTATTTTACTGATGAGAAAAATGGGACCCAGAGAGGTCAGGTAATGTAAACGGGGTCACATGGCTTTGTAAATGGCAAAACCTGGATGAGAATGCGTACTGGCTAACAGGGCCCAGGATCGTTTGATGATACATACCCACACTGCCCATACATGAACATCTGAGTCCACACAGTTCCTTTAGAAATGACCCAGACACCCATACTTTTCTCTTGAGCTTACTGAGTGGAGAAGGGCCAGGCTTTTGGACATAGGAGAAGGAATATTGGATAGCAAGAGTGAGCAGATAAAGAGGGGGCCATTGGAAGAAAGTTAGCCAGACATACTCTACTACTGGAAAGGTCTTCATCAACTAAACATCTGGTTCCCAACAGCACCATGTCTTCCTGGAGGCCTGAATTGGTCCCTGGAACCTGGAGTCCTGTCCTCCAGCCTCATGATCTCTGGGACTAGGGGAAATGACTCATTCTGACTCTTTCCCCAGAGCTGGCATCTTGCCTGGTAGCCACATCTCGGAGAGGCTCAGGCCCAGGCTGGATTATTTGGGCCATCAGAAGGATCAAGAAGCACTCAAAAGCCAGGGGAGCAGAGAGCAGAGAGGGCTGGTGCTGCTGCTCCCTCCCTGCTAGGGTAACCCTACCCTTCCCATGGAACAGGAGCTCTAACTTAACCTTCATGGGGCACTGGGCTGGAAGTAGTGCTGGGCCCTAGAGACACTTACTCAATTCTTACTGACTTGTTAACTCCACATGGGGCTGATGGACAGAATGTCCCCTGATAGCAGCCCGGAGCTGGCTCCTCCCTCTACTCAACCCAAAGGGAAAGCTGATCTGCACTGTCAATAAATCTAAGTCCAGATGGAACAGGCTAGACTGCAAAATGGCCCCAGGGAAGAATATGCTGGAAATGGTTCTAGCTCGGGCCGAGCCACCCCACCTCCACACCTGTGTGAGAAGGAGGAAGTCCAAGTAGAGAGAAGGGCTCCCTCTGGGTGGCTACCCAGAACAAGGTGGAAAGAAAGATGAGAATAAGGTAGGACAGAGGCAAGAAGGAGACCCAGAGAGATACAAAAAGTAACCTCGCTTTTGTTTTGTTTTCTATATTTACTTAATCTTTTTTTTTTTTCTTTGAGATGGAATTTCGCTTTTGTTGCCTAGGCTAGAGTGCAATGCGCAATCTCGGTTCACTGCAACTTCCACCTCCTGGGTTCAGGCGATTCTCCTGCTTCAGCCTCCCTAGTAGCTGGGACTACAGGTGCCCGTCACCATGCTCGGCTAATTTTTTGTATTTTTAGTAGAGACACGGTTTCACTATGTTGGCCAGGCTAGTCTCGAACTCCTGACCTCAGGCAATCCACCAGGCTCAGCAATGCACCTGACAAAAACTGGGAGGTGGAAAGGATAATGCAATAGTTTCCCCTTCTCTCATTATGGGGAATTAATTTGTAATCCCAAAGTGCTGGGATTACAGGCATGAGACATAGCACCTGGCTATTAATCTTATATAAATTCTGTTTGGTGATCATAAATTGTTAGACTTAATCTAAAGAAAAGCATCGAAGGCAATTTATTAACAAAACAAAATGTACGTTAACACCACAAAAACTTTAAAACTAACGATATCACTCCTTTGCTCAAAAGCCACCAGAACCTTCTCATCTCATTCTGAGTAAAGCCAAAGTCACTGATGCTGCCTGCAGGCCCTCTGAGACCTGGCCTTCTCTCTCTGACCTGACCTCCTACGCTTTCCTCTCTCCCTGGCTCCAGCCACAGTCTTCATCATCCCTTGAACTTGGCAACTCTCCCTCCTCAGGGCCTTTGCACCTGCTGTCCTGACTGCCTGGAATCCTCTTCCCCAGATCACCACATGGTTCATTTCTTCAACTCACTCAGCTCTGGTCAGATATTACCGTCTCAGTGGGGTCTCCCCCCAACACTCTGTTTAAAGCCACCACCCCCTCCCATAGACATAGACACACATATTATATCCCCTCCCTGCTCAGTTTTTCTCTATGGCCCATATTAGCATCCACAACTCTCTCTATTTTTTTAATTGTCTATTTCTTCTACACGCAGGCTCTATGCTAGCAGGGAGTTTTATCTATTTCATTTTTACCCCTGTGGCTCTAGCCCCTGGAACGTTACCTAATACACTGTAGGACCTCAACAAATAATAACTGAATGAGAAAATGAAGTGGCAATGTACCTCACAAAAACTGGGAGGTGGAAAGGATGATGCAATAGTTTCCCCTTCTCTCATTATGGGGAATCAATAAATGCAATCTAGAGTTAATGAACTAATAAAGAGAATGTAACCGTATTATTTAAAACAATAATGGAAACCACTAGATGGTTAAGTGAGATTTTTAGGGCAGCAAAACTATTTTGTTTGATACTATAATGGTGGATACATGACATTATGCATCTGTCAAAGCCTACAGAACCATATGACAAGAGTGAGCTTAATGTAAACTATGAACTTCAGTTAATAGTAAATGTATCAATATTGGCTCATTCATTGTAACAAATGTAGCACACTAACGCGAGATGTGAATAATAGGAAAAACTGTGGGGGAAGGCAGGTATACAGGAGCTCTGTTCTATCTGCTCAATTTTACTATACGTCCAAAAATGTTATAAAAAATAAGTATTTTAATTAAATACTAAAAATTAATAGTTTGCCTGTAATCTCAGCATTTTACGAGGCTACGGCACAAGGATAGCTTGAGCCCAGGAGTCTGACACCAACCTGGGCAACATGGTAAGATCTCGTGTCTCCAAAACAAAAAAAAATTTTTTTTTTGAGAAGGAGTCTCACTCTGTCACCAGGCTGGAGTACAGTGGTGCAACCTCGGCTCACTGCAACCTCCGCCTCCCAGGTTCAAGTGATTCTCCTGCCTCAACCTCCCGAGTAGCTGGGATTACAGGCATGTGCCACTATGCCCATCTAATTTTTGTATTTTTGGTAAATACAGTCTGACCAACATAGTGAAACCCCGTCTCTACGAAAAATACAAAAATTAGCCGGGCGTGGTGGAGCACACCTGTAATCCCAGCTACCCAGGAGGCTGAGGCAGGAGAATTGCTTGAATCTGGGAGATAGAGGTTGCGGTGAGACCAGATCGCTCCACTGCATTCCAGCCTGGGCAAGGGAGTGAGACTCAGTGTCAAAAAAAAAAAAAAACCTAGTCAACTGCACAGTACATAAATGTTCATGCGGTGCAGCAGTTAAAAACAAACAGATCACAGGTCTTAGTAGGTTGAGATGCCTGAAATATGCTGTTTCATGGGGAAACATTACGGTAGAGTAAATGTAATAAGGCATATAGCATGACCACACATGAACAAAAGTTCCTCTCTGTTGTACAGGTTATACCTGGAAGGATTCACAGCAATATGTTACCTGTGGAATGTCCAGGCTGGGGATGGGCAGTGTGAGAATACCTGTCATTTTATGAGCATGCTTCATATAGTTTGGATATCATACTTATGTATCAGGCGTATTTTAAAAATAATCACATAGGTGTTACATAGGTTCTTTAAATACAATCTCAAACACAGGGGCTGGCTTCAGAGCAGGGGTTGATTTAGAGGCTTGAACGGCAGTTGCTGGCCTCCAGGCATCCCCGGGATTCCCCAAGGTGGGCACACAGACCCTCCTGGGGTGGGGTGTGTATACCAGAGCTGAGCAAACCCAGAGCTGAGCATGCAGCCCCCTTCTGTCTCTGCAGTTCTGCCCTCCAACCTTGGGGAACATAAAAAAGGCCTGTTTCCCTTACAGGACCCTGGGCACCTATCCCATTATCCCCTGGCAACTGGAGTTGGAAGGCTTATCTAGGATACCTCAATTTGACCCCCAGTCCAGAAAGAGGTGTGTGGTATAGACCAGACTCTAATGTGAAAACAGATCACCTGGGGATCTTGCAAATGCAGCTTCTGATTGAATAGGTCTAGGGTAGGACCAGAGATTCTGCACTTCTAGAAGCTTCCAAGTTACACCGATGCTGCTAGTCAACAGAATATACTTTAGATAGCAAGGGTCAAGATCAATGATTCTCAAAATGCAGCCTCAGACCAGCGGCGTCAGCATCACCTGGGAACTTGTTAGAAAGGCAAATTCTAGGCTCCACCCAAGACCTGGGTTTGGAGCCCAGCAATCCGTGTTTTAACAAGCCCTCCAGGTGATTCTAATGCACACCTGTGAGAACCACTGGTGTAGCGGAAGGAGCACTCACCTAGGAGACAGGGAACCCACGTCATAGCTCAAGCTTGGTGACACCTTACACAATTGTTTCCCCTCTCTGATCTCAGTTTCCTCATCTGTAAAATGGGGACTGTTGAGTTCTGTCTTGCAAATTTAGTGCATATTTGAAAAAAAAAAAAAAAAAAACCTGGCTACTTTGTGGGAGCTATGGAACCCCTGTATAGGCAAGAAAACATCGTTACTCCTCAATCTGTTCTACATTCCTGGATTTCTCAAGCCAGGTAGCTCCTCCTCACCTAGATAGGGCATGAAAATGTGTTGGTCCCCAGCCCTATTCCTTACCACCCTGCTTCTCCCTTCAGGTTTCTGCACCCACCCTCCAATCCACAGGGCCCTCGCTGCTCTCCTCTCCCTGGGAGGTGGGGGCAGGGAGACCCACTCCCCAGCTGACCGCTCTATTAGACTTCTGGCCTGCTCGCGCCCCTTTGATGTACAGCCCTTTGTTCCAGGGCTTTGGGGTCTCCTCGGATCTCTGTTTTCCTAAAGGGAAACAGAAGGAAAAATCGACAGAGGTTTCAAGTCTCTGATGACTTGGGTTTTATGGGCACCATTGCGACAGACTTCAAGTGAGCAGCAACCCTGTAGCCGACCCGCCCAGGCTTGCTCCTGGGCCTGGCTCTCTCAGTGGAAATCCCCTCCCACACTCAGCCCTTTAATCACTTTCCAGCCCAATAACTTCCCTGATTCACCAGGAATCCCTTTCGTCTTGAGAGCACCTACTGGCCCTCTCTGATGGGGCTGAGTCTGGGCTTGAAGGCATTTGATCCCAGCATGGGTCTTACAGAGATTGGACTTGTGGGCTTATGGCTCAGGTTGGGGCCTGTAGAATTTTCCCTGTTCCCATGCCATCTTGGCATCTGGGTGCCCATGTTTTAGGAACAAATGAGCTGCCCTGGAATGACTCTCTTCCTTGAGGACACTTGGCCAAGGGGCAAGGACACTAGGAGGAGACTGACAGATGCCCAGGGAACTAGTGGCCTCAACCAATGGGCCAGTAATAGCCGTGAAGCCCTTGACCTGTAAACTGCTTTCTCTTTTCTTCTAGTAATAATAGTGTGCTTTAAATGCAAGTAATGCTTGAATACATTTTTGTTGCAAAAGATTCAAAACATGACAGTATCTTTTCACCACCCCTCTAGTCCCCCAATCTCAGAGACAACGATCCCTTAGCTTGGTTTAGGTCTTGACAGACATCTGTTTTGACTTTTCACACCTCTGTACTCAGACTAGCATAAAGCAGCGCTCCCATTGGTAATATAAGGGAGTTGGTTGAAGGATTCATAAGTCCTTCCAGCTCTGCCATTTTCTGCATTTGTGGGTGGCTTTTCCCTCTCTTCCCAAAGAGGAGACATTCATAGGATCTCCCTAAAATTATAGGGGGAAAGGGGAATGCATAGACGAAAATAGGAAAGAGCACAGTGTCAACAGAAGTTCCTTCAAGATGAGGAGATTATGGATGAGTTTTTTACCACTTGCCTCTGATTTTCAAATGTTCCATCCTGAGAGTTATAAAGATTATTATTTGGTCGTGTGCAGTGGCTCATACCTGTCATCCCAGCACTTTGGGAGGCCGAGGTGGGAGGATCATGAGGTCAGTCATTTGAGACCAGCCTAGCCGACATAGTGAAACCCGCTCTCTAAGAAAAATACAAAAATTAGCGAGGTGTGGTGGCATGCTCTTGTAGTCCTGGCTACTCAAGAGGCTGAAGCAGAAGATCCCTTGAACCCAGGAGATGGATGTTGCAGTGAGCTGAGATTGCACCATTGCATTCTAGCCTGGGTGACAGAGTGAGACTCTGTCTCAAAAAAAAAAAAATTATATATATATAATTTGTGAGTATTACTTTGATAACAGGGAAGCTCTTACACAGTGCCGTTGTCAAGCTCAGGCAGAGAAGAAGGCTGTGAGTTGTTCAGCCTGAGGCTTAGGTCAAGGAGAAATTAACAGATTGCTCAAGTCAGAGGGGTGTGTGGAGGGGTTTAGGGAAGGGAAGCAGGCTCATGGCATATTCTTGGATGCGATCTACAGGGAGATTCACAGAAAGGAACTTCAGAGTAAATCCCATTGTCTGTGAATTAAGAATTAAGCATTCTGTGAGCCAGGCCCTGGGCTAGACTTTAGGGACACAATGGCAAATGTGTGAATCAGAATTCTGTACTTAACAGGGAATGGCAACACAAGGGGAGGAGGAGTTCACATCCTTAGGAATCCCCGCCTACTCTTGCAAGAAGGTATTCCCTCCTACTGAAGGTCCAGGAGTTAAGCATTAGATCTTTGACCGGCCATGATCCTGACTTTGCAGAAATATGGTTTCCACACTGGACTTGGCCTATCTAAGGTGATATTGGTATGTGTACTAGTCAGGATGGGGTAGGTTATGCTGCGTTAACAAACTCCTCTCCGGTGGCTCACGCCTGTAATCCCAGCACTTTGGAGGCCAAGGCAGGCGGATCATCTGAGGTCAGGAGTTCAAGACCAACCTGACCAACATGGTGAAACCCCCTCTTTAAAAAAAAGAAAAAAAAAAGAATAAAAAACCAAACTCCCAAACCCAGTAGCTTCACACAGCAAAGGCCATCTCACTCGTGCCATATGCCCTACTTGAGCTGGCAGGGGAGGAGGTTCTACTCATTGTGATATACACATATCCAGGTTGCTTGAGGTTCCATCACGACACCTACTTCCACAATCTCTGCAACAGGGAAAAGGGACATGGGGAATCACACCGTGTCTCTTAAAGAAGTCTTCTCAGAAGTGACGCTTCTGACCTCAATTAGAGGCCATACCAAGTCACATTAGCATATCAAAATTCAAGGGAGGAGGCCAAATGTAACCTCTCAATGTAAACATAGATATTACTCTGTGCCCAGGAATATCTGTGAACATCCTTTAAAGTACTAGACAGTGTGGTTGCCATGGGACTGGTGGGTACCCCCAGAAGTCAGAGCCACCTCTTCACTCCTCCAGTAGGGAGCAACAGTCCCCCTTGGCATGGGACCAAGCCCTTGAACTCTCTGGAAGAGTCAGGTTGGGGTCAACAGAGTGGAAATGTAGAAGGCTCAGGAGCAGGTGCTTCTGAAAAGGCACCAAGGGCTTGTCCAGGCATGGGAAATGCCCACTAAGGCTTTATTCATGATAATCTGCTTCCTGAAATTTTCATGGCCTTTAGGGTGAGTCTTCGTAGGCCCATAAACTCGGACATCAGAGGTGGGCAGATCCCCTGAAGCCTGGCTGTTCAAGTGTGGTCTCAGGATCAGCCACATCAGCACCACTTCCCCTGGGAGCTTGTGAGAGATGTCCAATCTCAGGCCCCACCCAAAACCACTGAACTAGAACCTGCATTTTAACAAGATCCCCAGGAGATTCATATGCACATTAAAGCTTGAGAAGCATTTCCCCAGAACTAATTTAGGCCAACATCTTCACTCCACGAATGGGGAGCTGACACCCAGCGGGGAGGAGGCAGCCCAAAGTCACACAGCTGGTTCCAATCCTGGCTCCACCACTTGCCAGGGACTTGAGTAAGTCTCTTTAAAATTCACAATCTCAGTTTCCTTTTATATAATAAAGCGATAAAATAATTACCTCCCAGTGCTAGGATCAAATAAGACAACATCTAGACCAGTGCTGGGCACGTAGTATGTGCTCAATAACTGTTAGGTATTGCTGTGGTCTTAACTCACTGTTCCAGCACCAGGCCTCATACTCCCAGAACATGACAGTTTCTTCTTAAAGCAAGGGTGTTAGCTATGGCACTGCAGAGATAGGACCTGGACCCAGCTGCCTGCATTTATATCCTGCTCAATTTGACATTGAGACAGTTGCTGAATTGTTCTTTGGTTCTTGGCTTCGGTTTGATCAGTTGTAAGTGGATAAAACGACAGCACCTACTTCATAGGGCCATTGTGAGAATTAAATGAGTTAATACATGTAAGGTCTTCAAAGGTCTATAGCATATAGTAGGCACACAAGCTGGATGAATAATAATGTTTCCAAAATGTCCAAATGAAGACTAGGGTGGAGGTAGTTGCACCCTAGAAAGGCAGGGGACAGGCGTTTCTCAGGAGGAGCTGCCTCCGTTTTGTCCCTTTGACCTATTTTAAGTCTCCAGTCTGTTTCTCTGGCCCCTGGATGGGCCCCAACCCCTGACTGTGTTTTTCCCCCTCCACTGGACTCAGTGGGCTCCCTGGTGCCTCCATCAGGATGCCCTGAAAGGCCAGGGGATCTCTGGTGGGGAGGAGCACACTCAGGCAGATGACAGCTGTCTTCAAATCTCTGAAGCCCTGTCACACAGGAGAGGGATTAGACCTGTTCTGGATGACTCCAGGGGACAGAAATAGGAAGTTCCAGGACATCCTCTCTAATCATTGGAACCGTTCAGAGGCAGCCCCAGCTGCGTGGCGGGGCGGGGCGGGGCGGGGTGCGGTGGCAGCTAAGCGGTTGCCCCATCAGGAGGGTGAGCTGCGGGGTGGAGCCCAGCACCCCCTGGGAGGCTGGGCTGGTCCGCGGGTTCTCAAGCCGGGCAGAGCGCGGGCGAGCGTCAGAATCTCCTGAGGAACTTGTTGAATACAGATTCCCAGGCCCCGCCCAGGCCAACCGGATCAGAATTTTTAAAGGCTTCCCCAATGATTCTCAGAATGAGGCCTGCGCTTGGAGGCGGGGCCAGGGCTGGGCGTGGCACGGGGGCGAGGTGGGCAGAGGGCTAGACCGTCCAGGAGCTAATCCCTGCGTTCCTCACTCTCCTCTACCACCCTCACCAACCTGGGTCGGGGGATCGTGCCTCGCTGGGCGCCCCCCACATTTCCTCTTAGCCAAAAGTTCAAGAAGCGACTGGGTGCCCCTCTCGAATAATTTCTGTGCCATTGATTCAGGGATCACTCTCACACCTAATAGCGGCTCTAACGCCCCCAACCCCCGCTCCCTAAGATCTCTGGCCTCACCCCTCCAGTCGGCCTCCTGGTCTTCCTGTGCCTCCCCAGCTTCTCAGGTGACCCAGACAATTTGCTAAGGCTCTTGGAGATGGGCAGTCCGAGGAGGCTGGGCCTGCCACCCATCGGGAGGAGAGCTGTTTCCCATCACATCCGAAAAAGCCCAGGGCTCGGCCGCTCCTGCAGCGGGGCATAGCTCCCACCAAATGCATTCTCCTGACGTCGCCCTGGACGCCTTGCTCGGAGATGACAGAAACGAGAAAAGAAATACCTAAGTGGACATAAAGACCTTGCTCACCCTTTGGTGACCCTCTGGGTCAATTTCACAGGGTTTGGTATTCCACAGGGCCCCGAAGCGCGCCAGTACTCAGAGAAGAAGGGAGCGTCGGGGATTCGACGCGTGCGCTGTCTTGCGCAGGAGCTGTCCTCAGGGTCCACGGGGAGAGGAAGGGGGCGTGGGGTGCGCGGAAAGGCAGCGCCCGCCTTTTGCCCTGACCCCACAGCGCCACCTGGTGTCTCCTGGGACGGCGCAAGCGCCGCACCTGCGGATGCTGGACCACCTTCCGGTCACCCGACCCTCCTTCGCCCCGTGCCTCCCCTGCCTGGTGTCCCTCTTTCCTCGCCGCGCCCTTCATTGTCCAGTGGGTGCTTCCTGACCTGGCCGCAGCTGGCTTACAGCCCACTGCCTTTACCCGGGTCTTACTCCCAGGAGGTGCGCTCAGGCCCCTTCCCCACCGTGGGGCTGCACTGGAAGACAGGGGCCCCGGGGCAGGACAGCTACCGGAGCAGGGGACAGGAGGAGTGGCCGACAGGCCCTCCGGAGCAGCCAGCAGAGGGCAGCCTCTCTCCAGCTTTCGGCCCCCAAAGGTCCCATCCCCGCCACTCCTGCAGGCCCCTCCCAGAACAGGAGGGTCCACCTGTGTGCGTGGGACCAGCCACCCTCCTGGCTGCACAAACCTGTGCAGAGCAGCTTTTGTGGGCCACGCCCTGTGCTGGAGCCAGAGGGGTTACCAAGATGGAGCCCTTGACCCCGATTGCAGAACCTGTCAGTGCCCACCCTGGGTCGAAATTCTCCTCTGAGCTCCCACAGCACTTCCCCCTGTCACCTTGCACTTTCCTATCGCTCTGCACCATTGATGAGTGTTATGTATGCATAGGTCCCGTTCTCAGAGTCGAGGAGGGGGCTCTGTCAAGCCCACTGTTGGAGCTGGTCATCTGGGAAGTACGTACAAGAGGCGTTGTTAAAGCATCTGCCATTGTTTTAAATTTTTAGTGTGAGCACATTTTCAAGAAGGGCTCAAGCAGAGCAGCTGGGATGCATTAGACAGGTGAGTCTAAGATGAAGGATGCTGCGACCCCTCACATGAGCCTATTTCCAAAAACTGTGGCCTTCTATGGACTTGCTGTGGGGCCCCTAACGGCACGGAGCCAGGTCCCTCCACCACTCCCTCCTAGGCAGAAGTGAGCTTTCTAGATTTGAAGTGAAAGTTCCTCTGGCTGAATTTCCCCCTTAGGCTGGGGCTTTCCAAGTTGGGAGAAGTTATGAGCACAGCGTTGGGGCCTGGCTGAGCCCCTCCAAGTCCAAAGTCCATGCAATTCTCAGGCCCAGATTTGGGGGTGGAGACCAGACAGAACAAGGCAGTGGTATTTGGTTGGTCAGGTCACTTCAGACAGTGTGGTTCGGTTGGAATTGATGCTGATAAGTAACTGGTCCTTAGAAAAAGCAGGAACAAATCTACTTTGATTCATTTTAACCAGACTCCCTGCTAATTTTTTTTTTTTTTTTTTTGACAGATTTTTGCACTTGTCGCCCAGGTTGGAGTGCAATGGCGTGATCTCAGTTTGCTGCAACCTCTGCTTACTGGGTTCAAGGGATTCTCTTGCCTCAGTCTCCCAGGTAGCTGGGATTACAGACACCCGCCACCATGCCCAGCTAATTTTTTTTTTTTTTTTGAGACAGAGTCTCACTCTGTCACCCAGGCTGGAGTGCAGTGGTGTGATCTTGGCTTACTGCAACCTCCGCCTCCCAGGCAATTCTTCTGCCTCAGCCTTCCGAGCAGCTGGGATTACAGGCGAGTGCCACCATGCCCAACTAATTTTTGTACTTTTACTAGAGACGGGGTTTCACCATATTGGCCAGGCCGGTCTTGAACTCCTGACCTCATGATCTGCCCACCTTGGCCTCCCAAAGTGCTGGGATTACAGGCGTGAGCCACTGTGCCTGGCTAATTTTTTGTATTTTTAGTAGAAATAGGATCTCACCATGTTAGCCAGGCTGGTCTTGAACTCCTAATCTCAGGTGATCCACCCACCTCAGCTTCCCAAAGCCCTGCTAATTTTGATTACTCCCATTGAGTTCCTTCCCAGCTCCATAGACAGGATTGGGACACCAGGGTTCTGGTCTAAACAGCTTTATTGACCAGATGAGAAATCCGCTTGGGTACAGCCCATGCCTGCAGCCTTTTCAGTGTTGTTCTTTCTCTCAGATACTGTTGTTCTTTCAGTCGCGTGGAGCAGTGAGGCCCAGCCCTTTCCCCTTCCTCCCACCACTACTCCTAACCTGGGGCCTGGAACGGTGGAGTGATGTGATCAAAGGATCCCTTGAGAAGGGCAGAGTGGAAGAGGCAGGGTCTTGGGTTAAAGGGAAGAGTCTGAGGTCTCAGGGCAAAGGGAAGGGGTGTCTGGATGAAGACCGAGGCTGTGCCTACCTCCCTCCACATCTGAGGATCAAGTAGGTGTGGCAAGAACAGGGCCCTGACCTGGGCTCTGCTGACCACAGCCTCAGGACCCAGCGTTAAGGCCAGAGGTAACTACCTGAAGATTTGGGCCACTGATAAACGCCAACATATGTTTCAGGCGTTTCATTAGGATCCCCCATCAAGCAGGGAACGGCATGTCTGAGAAGGTTAAATGACATCCTGACTTAGCAGTCCTTAGACCTGGGTTATTCTCCTCCCACTCCAAGTGGGAGGCTATCAGTTCCACAAAGACTCAAAGGCAAGAGGCCTTGAGAAGCAGGGGCTCCTCGGACCCTGCCTGCGTGCCTCTCTGCCTCCGGCAGTGACTCCCTGAGCTGGGACTCCTCAGGCTTATTCTGAGGGACGCTAGGAAGCCCATCCTCTTTCCCACAGAAGAGAATCTCTGGGATCCAATAAACCCAGCCCTCCCCCGTCCCCATCTTGGTCTAGCTTCCCTCTCCCTCCAGCCTGTTGCTGCTGCTCCTCTGGGCACCAAGATGTGTCCTCAGGTGTCTTGGCCAGCTGATGATGGACGCACAGAGCAAGAGGCTAAGAACAGAGCTCTGTGGGGTGAGGTCTGGGGAGAGGGGCCTGCTCTCACCTAGATTAAAATCACTGAAGTCTCCTACTGGTGATGGGGTCAGATGCCAGGCCTGGGGAGCCCTTTAGTGGCGTGGGACTTCAGGCAGACCCCCAAACCAAAGGGAGCCAGATGTCCAAGTTCAAGTCATTAGTGATATGTGGCAGGGCCGAGAGAGAGAAATAATCCCGGAGGTCTCCAAAGCTGCTGGGGAGGGAATGGTGAGGAAAAGCGCAGGGGTAGGCGGGGCGTGGTGGGTGATGGTGGCCTCACTCGGAGTGGACCAAGGCCCCAGCTCCTTGCCCAAAACCAAAGCCCTTGGGCCCGAAGTTTTTAGCATAGCATCCTGTAGAGAGAGGAAAGAGGTAAGGGCATGTTCCTCCTCCACCCCTAGCCACACCACCCACCCTCCTGCTGACGATCCCCCACTCCTAGTGCCCAGCCAGACCCCTAGAGAAGGAAGGTCCACTAGCACCCCCTCACCTCCACAGCACCCTGATCTCAATAGCAAAATAGTGAAGAGGCTCTTGGTTCCACCCTGTACCCACTGCCCCTGCCACCAAAATTATAGAAGCATCATCTGCTGTAGAGCATTGGACTGGGAATTACAAAGCCAGGGTCTAGCCCTATGCCTGCCTCAATTTGCCATATGATTCTGTCCAAGTGACTGCCTCCCTCTGGGCTTGTTTCCTCATCTGTACAATGAAGGAATCATGCTAGATGCTCTGGACCTTGGATCCCAAGGCCAGGAATTAGTTTACATTCAGCAAAGGCAAAACTACTTAGACCCCTTGTCCCCTCAGGCCTCCTGATCCTCAATTAGAAGTAAAACCACCCACCTTTGCAGTAAATCTCGCCATCCTTGTCGGCCAGGGTGGTTGACTCAAGGCCTTTGCCACACTTGGCACATCGGAAGCAGGACTTATGCCAGGACTAGGTAGGGAAGGAAAGAGTTAATGGCTGCCACCAGTGACTAGGGCGCCCTCCACCCCCAGGCCAACTCCCTTTGACATAACGATGATATAAAGGCTGGAGGCATTTCTGAAGTCTGCTCAGCTGGTGCTACTGGGAGGAGACGGGCATAGTGCTAGGCAGTAGAGGGAGAAGGACAGGGACCACAGGCCACCTCACACCAGCTTCCATGATATGTTGCAGTGGCCTGATGATTAGGGTCACCAGCTACACCACAAAAGGCAGGCGAGGGGTTGGGTTTAACACCAAGATAGCTGTTCCCCACTGGCTGGCTAAATGAGCCTTCTCCAGATCCATCTTGTCAGTAGAGCCAGGGCTTTGCACTCCTCCTGGCACTGCCATTCGTTCTTGAACAGCCCTCATCGGGAAGACGTCTCTGCCCTGTGTTGCCTTGGGGCATCTCAGAGACACAAAGGGTCTTCTGCGGCCCCTGGAGAAACTACACTCCTCAGGTCTTTCCCTGCTGAGCTCAATGCATTTCATGGACTTATTCTCCTTCCAAAGTAATCCTAGACAACACTGACTCGGGCCTCCTCTGTGCCAGGCCCTGTGCCAGGCACTTTACACTGGTGAAGTCAGTTAATGTTCACAGCTACCCAGTGAGGAGGGACATACTGCCACCCTACCCTCCAACAGGTGATAGGCTTTGGGCAAAGGAGGCACCTAATTCTAGAACTTTAGAGACTGGGCTGGTCCAGTAGAATCCCAATGACGAATACTTTTTCTGTGGCCAGGAATCATATATTTAAATATCTGTGGCCAGGCATCATATATTTAACTATCTAGCCCTCACATCCATTCTGCAACACAGGGCAATCAGCTCTCCCAGAAGAAAGCGATGCCCCAGTTTGTACACTGATGGGATGTTGCAAACAGACTTCTCAGCAGCCAGCTCCCATCAGCAGCTGAGCAGGCTAAGAGGCTGATGTGTAGACAGCTCTGCTTATCACAGGAAAAGCAAGAGGCAGGCAGCAGTCAGATAAGACAAAGCAAGGCCTTTTAAGGGCAAAGAGACTCCAAGTGCCCAGGCTGGAGGATGAGAAAGGAAACTCGTGCCCTCAGATTTCCTGGTTGCCTGATCTTGCACATTGGCTTCTCCTCCAAAGAGCTGAGATGGGGGAACCCGGGTCTCGGTCGGTGCCAGTGCAACCTCAATAGTCACTCGGCCTTTGCTGCCTCCTCTGTAAAGCAGGGGCTGCTACCCCAAGCTCTCCAGGCTGGAGAAGAACTGAATTACATCTAGACCAACACCCCTCCTCCTATTTCCTAGCCATCTCCCTGCCAAAATAAGCTGAATCCCATTGCCCATGCGTAAGCACCCAAAAGTACTCCCAGCTCCTCAATATTTCTTGACCGAGGCAATAGAAAGGTGGGGGCTTCTCCCTACCTTTTCCACTTGAATGCAAAATTCTCTTATCCTACTCCTTAGTCCAGCCTTAGCTTTACCTTACAGCCTGTCTAACTAGTGGAAATAGTGACCCTTAGCTATTCTTAATAATTTTCTATTCTCAGAATGAGATAGAACGAAAAAACCCAATTTCATAATAATATGATGGTCTCCTGTTTTTATAACATTTAATCAATGGCAAGGATCTTCATTTGACCTCATAACAATCCCTGAAAATAAACAACAACAATAATAATAGCAAAACTATACTGAGCACATACCTGGCACTACATTGCAAGCTACACATGTATTATTTCATTTAATCATTGAAACTGACTTGTTGCCAGGCATGGTGGCTCATGCCTGTAATCCCAGCACATTGGGAGGCCGAGGTGGGTGGATCATGAGGTCAGGAGTTCAAGACCAGCCTGGCCAACATGGTGAAATCACATCTCTACTAAAAATACAAAAATTAGCTGGGCTTGGTGGCACACATCTGTAGACCCAGCTACTCAGGAGGCTGAGGCAGGAGAATCACTTGAACCGAGGAGGCAGAGGTTCCAGTGAGCTGAGATCTCTAGTCTATGTGACAAGAGTGAAATCCTGCCTCAAAAACAAAAACCCTGCCTTATTTTGTCCACTTTGCATTTCCTCCACCATCCAGGCCCACTTTAGAGGTGCAGAACTGAGGCTCAGGAAGGCTAAATTTTCCCAAGGTCACTCAGCCAATAAGTGGCAAAACTAGGATTCAAAGCAGGGCTGTCTGGAGCCCAAGCTCTTAATCACCATGCGAGGATTAACAATCCCTTCCCATTTTGCAGTGTTGGAAATGGGTTCAAAGGGGTCAAATGGTCCAAAGTAGCGTTGACAGCAGTAAGAGCAAGGACTGCGAGGTCAGACAAACCTGGGCTGGAGCCTGGCTTAGCCCCTTCCTAGCTAGCAGATCTGGGCAAATTATTTAATCTTTCTGACTCTCAGTTTCTTCACCTGTACAGCAGCGACACTAATACCCATCTCCGTCCGGCCATGAGTGTGAGAGTCCAGCCTTTGCTGCCTCCTCTGTAAAGCAGGGGCTGCTACCCCAAACTCTCCAGGCTGGAGAAGAACTAAATCACACCTAGACCAATACCCCTCCTCATATTTTCTAGCCACCCCTCACTGCCAAAATAAGCTGAATCCCTTTGTTCATTCTTAAGAGCCCAAAAGTACTCCCAGCCCCTCAATATTTCTTGACGGAGGCTAACCTTCTTTTGAGTCTAATCTTGGCCTAAGTATTAGTTGCTCAACATTTCCTAATCTATTCCCTTATCCCATTCCTCAAGGTCAAAAAGCCTTGAAACCCAAAACCCGAATCCAGAAGAGCCGAAGATGGGCTCTAGGCCCAGGCATTCCCCAGCCTTATTGTGTGATCTTGGCCAAGTCACTTTTCTATCTCAGGTCTCACGTGATGCTCCAGAAATCCACTCTGGCCTCAGAGCTTGAAGATACCTCTTCTGTGATTTTCTGACTGCTTATCTGAGGCTGCAAAGCCCTGGGGCAAGAATTCTGCCTCTTCTCTATGCAGCCTGCCTGGGGGAAGTGATCGGCTCAACTGGGACCTGCTGGTTTGCTCTGGTGATCCTCACTGTGCATTGGTGATTGAGGGCTACTGTCAGAATATCACGGGGGAATGTCATGTGTGGCAATTATAAACAGTGTGAAAAAAGCCTCCCAGGAGGCTCTGCTAGGCCTGAGCCTTGAAAATCTCTGTCCTGGAGGTATTTGGATGGGTTTTGGGAGTTCACATCCCATGAAACAGAATGTATATTCTTAGGATCACAAATCCTTTGAAAATCTGATAAAAGCTATGGATTGTCTTCTAAGAAACAGACATGTTCCCATGAAACTTTGCATATAATTTTTGGGGCTTTGTGGACCCCCTGAGCCCATCCATGTATGCTTACACTCTGTTCTCCAACATTAGAGATAGAGATTGTTGACACTCCCTGTGAACTGCCCATTGTCCATCCATGCTGGGGATGTTACTATTCACGGCTGATATGAGCTCCTTGGAGACTGGAAAGCACAGGTACATGCAACCCACAGGGACAAAGGGAAGAGGTTAAACCCCAGTGCTCAGGCTACCCTGAGCAGAGCTGGGTCACCAACTTAAAAGTTCTGGAATCCACATTTCAGGAAGGTATCTCCCCCATCCCCATCAAGCTCAGCAGCCGCCTTACCTTCCCAGCACCAATCACCTTCTCCGCAGCATAGACTGCCTGGCTGCATCGGGGGCAGCGCTCGGAGCCACCAATCTTCTGGGCAAATTTGGACGCATTGGGGTTGGTGGTGGGCCTGTGGCCAGGGGCTCTGTATGGAGAAGGGCATGGGTGAGGTGACTTACACTGTAAGTACAGGTAGGGCTGGCACTGAGAGGGCATGACCCTACCTTCGTCTCATGGCAGAGCAGTGGGCAGTTCTCTCTGCCAGACTCACAAAGGGTAGGGCCTCTAAGGTTATCTCCCATTTTACAGATGAACAAATGAAGGCTCAGCACAATGTTATTTTCATTGAAACGTCATAATTCCCTCGGTCACTCAGTTAACCTCAGAATCATTTAACACCCCATTTGCTAAAAACGCCCTCCTCTGCCCCTCATTCCTGCAGCTGGTCTACTATCAGATTCTTTCCAGGAGAAATCTGCTGACGAATCATTCTCATTGGGGCAATGACCTTGGCTGAAACTTGGTAGCTCATCCATCATTTCCGTCCACCCCCAGGCTGAGGAGCCAGCCAGGCCCACTGCCAAAGCCACCATTTACCCAGAGGCCAGGGAGTGCCGTGGGGTGGGGGCGGGGAGGGGACCTAGCGACAGCCTGTGGCATTTCCGAGCAAGGGAGAGGACTCCTCCTCACTTGGGCTGAGAGACAGCAGGGCTGAGAGTGAGGCTGGTGTGGCAGTGGTGCTGCCCTGAGCCCCTGGCCTGGCTCCGACCCTCACCAGCCATGGGACCCCAGGCAAGTCACTGGGCCTGGGCTGGATTTTCTCATCTATAAAAGGAGGAGGCAAGAGGGGGAAACCCCGTCTGCGGGGTATGTGGCACACGCCTTTAGTCCCAGCTACTTGGGAGGCTGAGGCAACAGGATCACTTGAGCCCAAGAAGCAGAGGCTGCAGTGAGCCGAGATTGCAGCACTGCACTCCAGCCTGGGTGACAGAGCAAGACTCCTTTTCACAAAAAAAAAAAAAAAAAAAAAAAAAGAGGAAATTGGACTAAGTAATTCTTGGAGCTCCTCCCAGCTCTGCCCTTATCTAGATACAGAATGCACATTCCACGCAGGGAGGCGCCGCGCCTGTTTTAGCCCCGGCCGAGTCCCCAGCTCCAGCAGCAGCCTGACACACAGCACTGCTCTGCGGCTGCCTTTTAAATAACTGGTTTTCTGAGCCTTCCGTTGCTTACCCAAAAATGGTTTAAATACACGTGAGGCCTAATGCAGGGGTGGGGGAGAAAACTGAAGAGAACAGTTGGGAGAGGATGTTTTACTCACTCCTCGTGCTTGATGCCCAGCGACTCGCCCTTGTCAGTGCTCAGGGTGCCCGCGCCCTGCCCGTAGCCATAGCCTTTGGGCCCATACTTCTTGCCGTAGCAGGACTTGCAGTAGATCTCCTCGCCGTGCACGGCCACCGTGGTGCTGTCCAGATTCTTCTTGCAGACCACTGCGGAGGGGAAGCGGGCACGGTGAGTTGAAGCTGCGGGGAGCTGCAAGCTTCCTACTGCTGAAGCTCTCTGGGCTATTTGCATAAATCATATCCTGATCTTTCAGAAACTGTCTAGAAATGGAGGCAGGCGGGATGGCCAATGGGTGGGAGGACAGAGGGATGGGATCTGCATGTCTGACTCTAGAAATGCTGGCCAACACCAATTCCTCTTCCAGGAATCCATGTGTGTCTCCTCCGGTCTTCTGCACCCCCAAACTTCCTGAGGCTGCAGTGCAACACAGGGCCTCAGAGGCAACAGCCTAGGCCGACCACAAGCCACAGGATGCCTGTTGAGGTTCCTCAGTCCACTCTCAACAGAGACCATGTGTCCCAGTAGGAGAGGAGAAAAAAGAAAAGAGGGGCAGAGTTTTCCTGCCTTCAACAATGGAACTCAGAAGAGACTGTCTGTGCATGCCGGCTGGGGAGATGCAGGTGGTGTGACACCCCAGAAGAGAAGGTTAACATTTATTAAGTGCCCAACACAGTGGGCTTTGAAATGAGACGCAGCTCATGCTGATCACAACAGGATTTGAAGTTTCTAATCACGGAAATCACTTCGCCACAGGAAGAAGTGAAGTCAGACACTGGGAAGAACTTCCTGACTCCTGGGGTCAGAGAGAGTAGAGTGGGAGGAGCTAGGGATTGCCATGGTCTGAGCTAGAAAGGCTGTGGGCCCTTCCTATTTCATCCTGTTAATCTCAGAGGGCAGCTACGCCTAGCTATCCAAGTAAAAGAGTTGAGGCTGGGTCCAGTGGTTCACGCCTGTAGTCCCAGCAGTGGGAGGCCAAGGCTGGAAGATTACTTGAGCCCAGGAGTTTGAGACGAGCCTGGGCAAGATGGCAAAACCCTCTCTCTTTATTTAAAAATAAATAAACAAATAAAAAATTTAAAAATAAAAATAAAGTGGCTGGAAGCGATAGCTCATGCCTGTAATACCAGCACTTTGGGAGGCCAAGGCGGGTGGATCACAAGATCAGGAGTTCAGGACCACCCTGACCAACAAGGTGAAACCCTGTCTCTACTAAAAATAGAAAAATTAGCCAGGCGTGGTGGTGTGCGCCTGTAATTCCAGCTCCTCGGGAAGCTGAGGCAGAAGAATCGCTTGAACCTGGGAGGCAGAGGTTGCACTCCAGCCTGGGAGACACAGTGAGACTTTGTCTCAAAAATAAATAAAATAAATAAATAAAGTTAAAATAGTTCAGAATGTGGGGTCACAAAGAGTCAGACTTCCCGGAATCAAATCCCAGCTCTCTCCCTTTCCAGCCGTGTGCAAGTTATTCCGCCTTTCCAGCATCTGTGTCCTCATTTGCAAACAAAGATAATAATGTCTGCCCCAAAAGCTGGTGGTGAGAATCAAATGAGATCTGACATGTGAAGTACTTGGCACACTACCCTGCATACCACAGGTGCATAAGAAATGTTGGCTACTCTTATTAGTACTGTATAAAGTCAGTACCGTCGGGAGACAAGGAAGCAGGAGGGACAGGCCCGGCCTCAAGAGATCATTGCTTCTAACCTCCAATACTCCTCTCAAGAGATTCAGCCACATTCTGTTTCTTCACTTGGCCTGTAATCCTACTTCAGTTTGATAATATTCCTTAAATACTGGAGTTCGGCATCTCAACTGGACTGCACCCTCAAACATGTCCTGAAGACAGAAACCAAGGATGCCACTGGAGAGGCCACACCTCTTACCGCCCTGGGAGAAGCTCTCAGCTCCTTTCCTTGCAACTGCCACCCTCTTGCCTTTAAAGGGTCCAGCCCTCTGCCAGCTCCTCTCTCACCCTAAGCCCCAGGTTGGAGGCTTCAGACTAAATAAGGACCCTCCTGTCCTGCCCTGGAGATCTCCACCTCATTCCAGCACTCTGGGCCATCCAAATATGGAACTTCCCACCATTTCCCCTGGGGCCCGGAGAAGGAGGGAGAGGGAAGCACAGGCCGAGGGCTCCAACATTCCCTTCTAGGGTGGGAAGTCAGGAATTGGCCTGGAATTATTTGCCTGTAAGATCCAAACTGAACTGAAAATTCCAAGACCAGAGAGAAGGCTGAAAGCAGATAAGAGTGCTTGGGGGAACCGAAGTGTCTTTTGGCTGATCTCTCTAGCAGGAAACCCAGGAACTCGGCTCAGGGCAGACTTCAGGGCCTGCAAGCTGATACCTTCCAGATGGCTCCCTGCCGAAGACCTCCCTGCTCCTTTCTGCTCTGCCTTGGCCCTTCTGTTCTCCCCGAGGCCCAATCCTGCCTCACGGTGGGCCTTTGCCCCTCTACGTCCATCCAAGTGATATAGTGAGAGACTGTAGCACACTTGTAAGATCCACCAAAGACTCCATCAAGGGGAATTTTGAAGGCAGGTCTGAATAAATTTCTACCAAATCATGGTAAGCCAATAAAGGAAAAAAAAAAAGGACTGGATTTGTTGGAAACACACAATGCCAGATGCCACCTTGGTGGGCCCTTGTGATGCTGCTTGGAAATGCTGGGGAAAGGCAGCCCCAAGGGAGAGGTCAGAGCCCCCTTGCCACACTCAGAAATGGAGAATGATTCTCTGCTTCTAGAAGGAAAACTGAGGCCCACAAAACAGTTCCACATCACATGCTGGCCAGATGCAGGACCAGGCCAGAACCCAGCCCCTGACCTCCAGACCTGGTTGTTTCCTGCGAGCTATGTCTCCCCTCCAGTGGGCCAAGCACTGGGGCCGGGACGGTGAAAAGTGACAGAAGCCTCAGCCTGTGGGTGAGGAGGTGCTGGGGTCAGAGCATGGGCAAGGCTTCTTTCTGTGAGCTCCCCCATGCCCTTGGATTCTAGGGAACAGCCCAGGGCCAACCTGTGGGGTCCTGTTCCATCAGCCACCACCACAGAACTCTTTCCTCAGGGCTGCCCAGCTCGACCTTCCCCAGGAGGGAGCTGGGTACAGCTCAGAGATGGGCGCATAGCCTTGGGCAGGTTCCCAGCCATGGGGCTGAGCTTTCCCACCAGCCTCTGAACCACCGCCTGCTCATAGGATCTGGCAGCCCCTTTCCAGACCATGGGAGTGTACTGTAGACCCTCTCAGTCCCTGCTCCCAGGCCAAGCCCAGGGTGGAGGTGATTCTCCCCAACTTTGCCTATGACATCATCCTGTCTTCCTCCTGCCCATTCAGACCCTCAAGAAAGGGCACTGATCTGGTTTGGCTGCGTTCCCCCCAAATCTCACCTTGAATGATAATCCCCACATGTCAAGTGGGGCCAGATGGAGATAATTGAATTATGGGGGGTGGTTGGTCCCCGGTACTGTTCTTGTGATGGTGAAAAAGTCTCTCAAAATGTGATGGTTATATATGGGAGTTCCCCTGAACAAGCTCTCTTGCCTGCCACCATGTAAAACACGGCTTTGCCTCTCCTTTGCCTTCTGCCATGATTGTGAGGTCTCACCAGCCATGTGGAACTGTGAGTCCATTAAACCTCTTTCCTTTATAAATTACCCAGTCTCAGCCAGGCGCGGTGGCTCACGCCTGTAATCCCAGCATTTTGGGAGGCCAATGTGGGTGGATCACGAGGTCAGGAGTTCAAGACCAGTCTGGCCAAGATGGTGAAACCTCATCTCTACTAAAAATACAAATATTAGCCGGATGCAGTGGCTAATATTTGTAATCCCATCTACTCAGGAGGCTGAGGCATGAGAGTTGCTTGAACCCAGGAGATGGAGGTTGCAGTGAGCCGAGATCACACCACTGCCCTCTAGCTTGGGTGACAGAGCAAGACTCTGTCTCAAAAATAAAAATAAAAATAAAGATAAATAAATAAATTACCCAGTCACAGGCATGTCTTTATTAGCAGACGGAGAATAGACTAATACAGGCATGTAGGTGGGCAAGCTGAGTAGAATCTGGAGCCAAGGACCCACCTGGTCACAACTGCTTCTGGGGACCTACCCCAGGCCTGACCAATGAGGGAGATAGCCTTTACTGCCCTTGGCCCAGACCCGGCTAGCCTCTCCCTTCCTCGGGAGGGAAAGTCCTTTGATTCAGTATGCACCCTGAACGGGGTGGGCAGTTACCACCCACTTAAGTCCTTTGATTCAGTATGCACCCTGAACGGGGTGGGCAGTTACCACCCACTTAAGTCCTTTGATTCAGTATGCACCCTGAACGGGTGGACAGTTACCACCCACTTCACTGAGAAAGAGAAATGATCCTTCTTCCATTCATAAACAAATCTTTGTCAGGAACCCCACTGTGTGCCAGGCGCTGTGCTGGGCATGAGGAATGAGCAAGTTGTGGAGATGGCTCAGCCTGCTGGGACTCATGCAGTGCTCAGGGGTCCACTTGGTGCTCTGATACCCAAGAGCTGCACGGCACCTGAGACCCTAGCGTGACCTGAGACTGCTTCCTATGGCTGCTCATTGCATAACACAGAGCCCTGCTCTCCAGCCTGATTTTCTACAACTGTTTCTCATCCGCGGCACCCCTTACACACTGCCCCAGGTCCTGCTCCTTCCTTCCTATGCCACCCCCTGAATTCCTGACTTCCCTCAACCCTCTGACCGACTGCTCCTCCATAAACAGGTCTGCAGGCAGGCAATGTCGCCCACAGCTGACTCCTTATAGTCAGTGGTTAAGCAACATCCGAGAGCAAAGAGAGGGGCCTTTAGGACCCCCTTCCCAGCCTGGACTCCCTTCCCAGCCAGGGCCAAGCTCTCTCGTATTCCCTCTGGAAAAATAAACAGCTTGGAAATTCCTAAGTGTAGTGAACTGCTGATAACAAGACGCTGCTGTTTCTGGCTTCCTTTGCAGGCTGGAAGCCAACAAAGCTCCACCGAACCTTGTTTACTCCCCATTCATCAGACGCAGCCCTGGAGCTGTCACTCCAGGCCAGCCGAGCAGGGTGTGGGGCCCCTGCTGCCCTGTGTGAGGTGGCCTCAGGTTGGTCTACCCAGTGACAGGCAGAGGTGCAAACGTCTGTTGAACAGGTGGCTCTTGGCCCACCTGGATCCTGCTCTGGAGCACAAATCATGAAACTTTCCTTCATGTAATGCAGGACAGACAGGACCCCATTCTTGGATCTCCCCAGATGGGCTGGGGCCTCAGCCCCCCTGAGGTCTTTTTTGCATCACACTCTCTTGCTATAGATCCCTCAGCAGTGTGTGTGAGCGTGTGTGTGTGTGTGTGCGCGCGCGCACGCCCGTATCATTTCTTCAATATTCATAATTGTTTTAAGTCCTTTGTTTTACAAGTTTCTTTCATTTTAATTCTCACAACAATCCCATGAGGTAGCTATTATTACCTCCACTGTAATAATGAGAGAACTCAACCAGAGAGAAACTGAGTAACTTGTCCATCATCACACAGATCATAAACACTGAATCTTTTTTAACTAAGACATTCTCCTACCGTCCATTCCGTCTGCTCTCATGAAGAATGTACCTTGGCCAGGCACAGTGGCTCGTGTCTGTAATCCCAACACTTTGGGAGGCTGAGGTGGGCAGATTATTTGAACCCAGGAGCTCAAGACCAGCCTGGGTAATATAGGGAGATCCTGTCTCTCCAAAAGTTTTTTTAAAAAATTGGCCGAGCATGGTGGCATGCATGTGTAGTCCTAGCTACTCAGGAGGCTGAGGTGGGAGGATCTTTTGAGGTGGAGGCTGCAGTAAGACACTGCACTCCAGCCTGGTGACTGAGTGACACTCTGTCTTAGGAAATAAAATGCATCTTGCTGAAGCTGACTCTTCTTCTAATCTAGACCTTCTGCTCTGATCACAATGAACCAAATCATTTAGGAACCTGAGGAGAGACTTCTTCAAGTTGCCACATCCTGGAAACGTCACCTGGCCCAGGTACCAGCTGGTGCAGCATCACAGTGTCAGGATCCCTGGGTCGACCCGACCTCTGTCAGTTGCTTCTTACCTTTCATCTGACTTCCTACTCATCTAGGCTTGTGACTGGAGCAAGCCTTGCTCTGCCTTATTAGGAGTAGATATCAGGGAACTCCTCACTCCCTCTTCCTCTTGTCCCAGGCTGTTTGGGTGGGAATGGGAAGTGAAGAAGTGAACGGGCTGGCCTCCAAGGGGCTGAGGAAGGAGGAGCCCCCCTCCTCCTCCAGACTCAGCTACACCATGAAGTGTGGCCTCTGTTGCCTTTGAACAAGAGATAATTAGGGTCCAAAGGGCTGGAAGTGTTTTCCTCTGAAATGGTGGGATCATGGCAGGGAGAGAGAGAAGAGAGAGCTGAGTGGAAAGTTTTCTTAACCAAGTCTTTACGGCTTGGCTTTCAGCCCCTGAACACTCGCCACCCCGACCCGCTCTGGCCAGTTCATCCCTGAGAAAGAAGCTTCTGAACGGAACAAAGAGGCCCTTAAGTGTTTCCCTGCCCAGCTGCGCTTCAGCCAAATGTCAAGCTGTTTACATCCCATGGGCCCAGTTCCCCTGGGTGTTGACAGCCCCAGCCTGTGGGGACAGGCCCGACCCGGGTGTCCAAGGCAACAGCAGCAGGGCTTGGGGTGTACTCACTGCACAGGAAGCAGGATTTATGGAAGCTGTTGCCTTCGCACTGAACCTCTTCGGCAAAGTAAACTGTCTTCTGACACACCCCACATTTCTTGCCTCCTCCCCAGTTCGGCATTCTGAAAAGGGACACAGAAATGGGAATTAATTTTACAGGGAGATGGAAACATCTCAGATTGTCCACGACAGAAATGTAACAGCCAGTGCCTGAGGAGAGAAAGATGAAGGCAGAATGCTTAGGGGGCCACCAGGCCTGGCAGAGCACTTTCTGCCAGCTCTCCACGGCATCCTCACACGTCACTTAGGGATTTCCTCCCCCAGTCTAATCAACAGGTCTTTACGGAGCAGCTGCTGCATTTTCAGCCCTGTGCTAGGCACTCCAAAGGATGTGGATCAGCAGAAGATACAGGGCTGCAGTGGCAATAAAAATGGACTGCCAAGCCCTACATGCATCAACATGATGGATCTCAAGGAGAATGCAGACGGGAAGAGGCAGACAGACCAGAGCTGGGAAAACACAAGCCTGTTTGTATGAAATTCACAAATGGGCTAAACCCATATTGTTAAGACATGGACATATGGGTGGAAAAGTTACTACAGAAAAGCAAAGGAATGACGACAAGCTCTTATCTTAGAAGAGTTCCTTCTAAGGGAGGGAAGGGACCACGACTGAGTGGCAGGCCAGGGAGGCTGGCAAGACGCTGCCTGACAATATTCTCCTTCTTCACTTGGGTGGCTGTCATATGGGGACTCCTTTTATAATTATTCTTTGAACTGTACACGTAGGTTTTGTGTGCACTTTTGTATAGAAGCTATAGTTCACCACAAGAAAAAAGGTTTAAAAAAAAAAAGCAGGGCTGGGTGCGGAGGCTCACGCCTGTTCTCCTTCTTAACTTGGGTGGCTGAGGAGGGTGGATCACCTGAGGGCAGGACTTCCAGATCAGCCTGACCAACATGGCAAAACCCCATCTCTACTAAAAATACAAAAATTAGCTGGGACTGGTGGTGGGCCCAGTAATCTCGGCTACTCAGGAGGCTGAGGCAGGAGAATCGCTTGAACCTGGGAGGTTGAGGTTGCAGTGAACCAAGAGAGCACCACTGCGCTCCAGCTTGGGCAACAGAGCAACACTGTGTCTCAAAAAAAAAAAAAAAAAGAAAAGAAAGAAAGAAAGAAAAAAAAAGAAAAGAAAAAAAGCAGGAAGTAGGCACACAGGGCAGAGTTCTCAGCCTTCAGAGTGAGGGGCTTCTGCAAAATCAAATCTAGTAGCATCACCCCACATCTAATGAATTATAACCTCTGAGAATGAGGTGCATGAATCTCAATTTTTAACAAGCACCCCAGGCAAACAAAGCAGGTGGCCTGGATGAACTTTGAGATGCTCTAGGTGTTGGTTCAGAGCTGGGTCCTGATGCCAGGCAGGCATCTCAGTCTTGATCCTGCCACTCACTGGCTGTGTGACCTTGGGCCAGATAGTTGGTCTTTCCAAACTTTTGATTTCTGTATCTATTAGATAAGGATAAGAATAGCAGCTTCACCAAGTATGCCTGGCAATTAAATAAGATATGATACATCAAAGGCAAGGCACAGAGCCTGGCACATACATGGCACACAGAAGTCCAGGCTGTGCCTCAGGTCAGTACCCCCGTGGTCACAGAGCAGCACAGAAGGTCATGGAGAACAGATGGGGGCTGCTTCTCTCCTTCCATTTCACTCACTCACTCAATAGAAGGAGTGGCTGGAGGAGGAAGATGGCCCTTCCAGCTCTTTCAACAGAGTTCATGGGGGAAGGCTATACAAAGCACCACCTACAGCGGGTACAGGCTGGGTGCCTGCGGTTGCCCAGGACATGGTGAGGAAAGGACACAGGGAGGTGCTGGGAAGTAAAGGGGCTGGGAGTCAGAGGGGTCTGTGCCTCTGGAGGCAGGCAAAGGAGCCTAAGGAGAGAGCTCAAGGAGCCTGTGGCATGGAAATGTTGAAAATAGGGATGAGGCCACCAGAGTTGTCAACGTCAAGGGCAGAGGGAGACACAGTCTCCACTGCTGGGACACGGGCCTCCGCTCAAGAAGAGGGTCCAGGTCACGTTCACCACTCTGTCCCCATGCCCTGCACAGCTCTTGGCATGTAGCTGTTCAGATAGGTGGCCGTGAATAGTTGAGGAATGAATGAAGGATGTACTGATATTGAAAGCCACAGCTTCTGGGGCCATTTTCTCTGCATGGTGAATCTCTGCAGATCCTGGCTGCTAGTGGAGGTGCTTAGTAAGCATGTGCAGGCTGAGAGCAGGGCTTCCCGTGGGGAGGCGGTGTTGGTGATGCTGGGGGTCCAGGTAGACTGTGCCTGCTGCATCAGCCCAGTTCTCCCTTTCTGGGGCTCTGGACTGGCCGCCCCTCCTCAGGCTCCCACGCGTTGCTGACAAGCCTGGCAGGAATTTCTCTACTGCTCACATCCCCATCTCCATCTTCCTCAGATAATCCATGGCGCTTGAGCTCCCAGACCCAGGGACAGTCCCCGCCCCCAGCCTTTGATGTCGCACTGTTCCTTCAGCCTTTTTCTGTTCTGAGGACTGCTAGCTGCCCTTGTTGAGCAAAGATTTGGGGCTGAAAACCTCAATACAATGTGAAGGACAATCCAACAGGAACAGCAATCAGCAATGTGTGTTATGGTCGGACTAACCATCAACCATTTGTCCCTTCTTCCTTGCTACAGAGCCCCGATTTTATTCAGGCCATGGAGTGACTGGGGAGATGCCCCTTCCCCAGATGGAAGAACAGAGCCTGAGTCTAAGCCAACCGTGGGGATTCCGTTCTCCTGCCAGTGGCTGGATCGGGAACAGGCTGAGACCATTTCTGGCCAGTGAGATGTGAGGGAGGTCTGCTGGGAAGCTTCTGTGAATAATGTGTCCAGTTGTACGGAGACACACAGGCTCTCTTCTCCCTCTGATAAGGTGACTCAATGTGACCCTTGGAATTCAGCCACAGCACCCACACTGCTATGGGCTGAATGCCTACTATGTATCGGATGGCTCGTCTGCATCATCTCATTTCTTGTCTTTTGGAGATGGAGACTCACTCTATGGCCCAGACTGGAGTGCAGCGGCGCAATCTATGCTCACTGCAACCTCCATCTCCTGCGTTCAAGCAATTCTCAAGCCTCAGACTCCTGAGTAGCCGGGATTATAGGCACCCACCACCGTACCCGACTAATTTTTGTATTTTTATTAGAGATAGGGTTTTACCATGTTGGCCAGGCTGGTCTCGAACTCCTGACCTCAGGTGACCTGCCTTGGCCTCCCAAAGTGCTGGGATTAAGGCATGAGCCACCACGCCCAGCCTAGTCATCTCATTTCATCCTCATCATCCAAAGATAAAGAATGTATGCCCACCTTACAGATAAGAAAAGCAAGGCTCAGGGAGGTTAGGCAACTTGCTTATAGTCACACAGCTAGAAGAGGTGGACCTGGGATTCTAATGCAAGCTCATCTACTTCTGAGTCCTCTGTGCCCCAGTCACCATGCTGTGGCCCTTGCGTATTTAAGAGGGCCTGCTTGCGGTGGGCATACAGTACATCAGTGCGGATCCTCTCCTTTTCCAATCCCCTGAACCAGGAGGGGACACACTCAGGCCCCTAGGAACACCCCTACGGGAGGAAAATTCCTCCAATCACATGGTTAGGAGCCAGTTCCAAGCACTGTTTTGTTCCCAGACACAAAAGCCCTTCTCCCTCTGGGGAGACCCACAGCTCCATACAGGCCTCCCCTTGTTTTCCCTGGCTCCATGTCAGGGGCTCACATCCAGCAAGGCCCCAGGGAATCAAGAACATGGGTGGAGAAATGGGTGAAACCCAAGGACCTGCCAGTACGGAAAATCTGCTCAGGACATCTCTTGGCGAGGCTGCTCTTCGAACCTGGTCATTTAGTTGGGGCAGGGTGGGGGTCTCCCCACAAGAGCCCAGTGAAGGGACAGGGCTCTATTGCCTTGAGATGAAAAGTGATGACTGCATCCCTAGCCAGGAAGGGTTTCAGGCAGTCCCTGTGGATGGGCTCCTGTCCCTCTCTGCCCTCAAGAGGACCCCTCCTGGTGACCCTGCTTGTGAGGAAGAGGCTCGGCTGGAGGGAACCCTGGCAGCAGGTGGGGCTCAGTCTCCACTCCACCCCCTACCCTTTCTGCCCAGCCCCTTCTCTCCAAAAGCCAAATTCTGCCTGTAGGGAGACCGAATTGCCTTAAAAGGAAACCTGTTTCTCTGAATTTATGGAGTGCCTTAGAGGGACATTTGGCTCCTTCTCAATTGCCTTCCCAGCTCTGGGGGACAGAGGCCCTGCAGGAGGCTGGGACGAGAGAAGTTCCCCAGGTCAGAGTTTAGGCTGTAAAGGTCAATGGTTAGGAAAATGGCAGCTGGGCTTGATGGACCCGGATTCACCCCTTCTTAGCTGAATGATCTTGAGCAAGTTACTTTCCTCTCTCAGCATCAATTTGCTTGTCTCTAAAATGGACCGTACGTGAACTCCCTAAAATTGAGCTGTAAGGATTAAACGAGGATATACGGAAGTGATGGCCAGCATACTGTAAGTGCTCACCCCTCTGACTACCTCTCACAAGACTAGCCCAGTCATACCTTGACACCACACTGCTAGATGTGGGCCAGCTGTCCGCGTGTAGCTAGTCCACATATGGAAGGAGTGAGGTTTAAGAAGTAACAGGCCAAATAGGGCCAGGAACTCCTGATTCATCTGCCAGCCCAGCAAATGAGTCTGGGACAAGTTACTTGCCCTTCTTTGGGGTTTAGCTCCCCCCAGCTGTGTGAGATGTCCTATTTCAGTGTGTTGAGCATCTCAACAGAGAACAGAGCTTGAATTTTCTGCTGAATGGCTGGAAACACCTGGTCAACTGTTTTCCCAAAATGGCTGGAGGCTAGAAGACTGCTGTGTCTGCTGCCATATCTTCCTAGCCTGGCTGTCCCATTACAACTGTGCCCAGATCCTCAATCTTGAGAGGAGAAAGCCAAGGTGGCAGCTCTTACAGCAGCAGAGGAGGGAGAAGAAAAAGGGCACAGGCTCTCACGGTCACCCCAAATCTCATGAAAGTCAGGCTCAGCTGGATGCGGTGGCTCACACCTGTAATC